TTTTTTTTTTTTTTTTTTTTTTTTTGCAAAACTATGGGATGCCTAAAGAATTGGCGGCACACATGCACGTAGTCCCATTTCCCAGTACCTACCACTCGTTCGCAAAAGTGTGAATGCTGTTAGCAGCACGTGATGTAAATTGTGGAGATGACACTGACCCCTTCACATTGTGTCTGCCTATATCACCCGTGGTGATCTTCTCCTGCCATGACCCACCCCAAAGGAACCCCATATATATATATATAGACTACGTGAATATATATCTCCTCCGTCAGACGACATATCATGAGTAGGGGGTACGCTAACTTAAATGCTTTTGTTGAGAAAGACAAACAGGACAGATGGTCGACTAACCGGAAGGGAGCTGGAGGAGGAGGAGGGGGGACACATAAGGACAGCAGAAGGATTAACCAAATTGAGCGTCACAAAAATGGGTTTGTTTCGAGGGATTTGAGAAGCCAAGCTTCTGCCAATGATCAGCACCTCTTCTTCATCAGGGGTAGCAGAGGGGGAGACCACCACGATGAGGGAAAGAAGGGGTCCCACCGGGATGTGAGACCCCCTAGGGAGTTGTACGACCAGTCGGAAAGGAGCCAGAGCAGGGCGGACCATCGCGTAGAGCACCGCGTAGAGCACAGGGCTAACCGAAAGGATGACCCCAAGGTAGGACACACCAAACCGCACAAGTCCTCTCATCACCGTCACCACAAGGATGCGCATCGGCACCATCGCAGAGATTCACAACGACACCACCGAGGGGACTCACGACGCCATCACCACCACCCCCAGAAGGAGGTAGTGGACACAAAAGATAATTCATCAGGTGGTCTCCTATGGAATTGCGTCAAGAGTGTATGTTCCTCCTTTGCATCTGTCGTGAAGAAAAATATTTTTACTTACGAAGATGCCACGAATGAGAGCGGAAGAGGAAAAATAATTTCTGACCTTTCCAGGCTTATAGACAAAAATGCACAGAGGAACAAACAAAAGGATCCATTGCAGGACGACCATTCGACTACAACGTTAAGCAGAAACCAAAACCATATGCAAAGGAAGGATAGGAGAAGGGAAGAGGAGTTCCTTGAACAAGGAGATAATGCACTTAATAAATATCACGAGAAAATGCAACGTCGGATGGAAAAAAAAAAAAAAAAAAGCGCATCATATGAATTTTCCGATAACGATTTGAAGAATTTATTTATGCTACATAGTGAGGAAAGGGCGGAAGGTCCATCGCAGGAGGATGCAAAGCGGGTGAAGGGTGGTGAAGGACGTGATGGAAGGAGCGAACGTGTAGAGTTAGGCCCGGGAGTTGTTGAGAAGCTCGACGGGGCGCCCCACCGCGTAGGTGCAGAGGCACCCGTCACAGGAGGGCCGCAGTCAATCCCACACATAATTGTAAACAATGGAAGCTTCACCAAGCGAAGTCAAAAGGAGGATTTGAACTCGAGAGGAAGACGTGCTACCCATTCGTCGGAGGAGGAACACACACTGGGTAGGCTCGGGCGTCTTAATAGGCAAAGTGAAGAGATAAGGAAGAAGCTGGAAGGGGAGAAGGAGGAGGACGAGGGGAAGAAGAGAAAGGGAAGCTTCCCCCTCCCTTCCGCCAGTAGCAACAGGACCAGCGACAGCAGTAGTGATGGAGATGGTGAAAAGGATACACTCCGAAACAGCCTGTACTCGAAGGACAACATTTTCAGGCAGCTGTTTGAAGCAGGACAGGAACACAGCATGGAAGATGGGGACGAGTATGAGGAAGGGGGAGGAGGAATGGAGGGAAAATTGAATGGTAGACAACTCGCTCCGAGCAGTAAAACAAATGCGCCTGATCAAAACGGCTACATAAACTTGGAACAGGGAAAGACTCTCCTTCAAAATGGTCTGCACCAGATGGGAGATCAAATGTCTTCTCTGCAAAACGAGAAAGAGGATAAGTTGTATTATGAAAATATTTTTGAGGATTTCGAACAAAAAGGGAAATCGATGGAGGATCCCGACGACAGCTCAGCGGACAGCTTTAAGAATATCTTCTACAATCGGAGGAAGAAGAAGAAGGGGGAAGTGGCCCCCATGGAACAGAGGGAGAAGACAACCAGCGGAGCAGATGGAGAGGCGAAAAAAAGCGGCTCCGAGGTGGAAGAGATCAACGCAGGAGACGCATCCAACTCAGACGCTGCCTCCAGCTTGGACACCGCCTCACACTCGAAGAGCCCCGCGCACAAAGGGGCGCACTACTTCCGCAGTTACATCAAAAGCAGCGAGGAAATAACACAAATACGATTCGAGTTCAAGCAGCTGATGCAGACGATAGACTCCTTCATTGTTCAAAATTCAACCAGTGAGGAAATTTTTGGAGATAAAAATGCAGCTCAAGGAAATGACCACCACAGCAGTGACACGCAAAACTCACTCAAGAGAGAGAGCAAAAATGAAGCGCCCTACTTAGAGATGGACAAAGGGAACGAGGCAGATGCAGAGGAACAGTCCATGAGGTTTATCGAGTCTGTCACGTCGGAAGATAAAAGTGGGTATGTAATACTTAAGAATGATGAGGAGTCCCTTATAGAAGCACTTGAGAAGCTTCGAATTGAAAAAAGGAAGAAGGACGCAAAGGGGAGGGAACTAGATGACGAGGTAAATCGAATTGACAAAGCACATGCGCCAGGTTTAATAGACCCAGATATTTTCTTCAAGTGCATTAACAAGGACCATTACGAAAAAGCGGCTCAGATACTACGACAGAAGGGAGAAAACCTTGTACTAATAGATAAATTTAATGTCCCTCTTTTGTATTCACAAATAAAATGTTTAATGGATACAAAGTGGCTCAACGATGAGGTCATTAACTTTTACATGAGTATGCTTCAAGAATATAATACGAATAATATTAAAAAGGACACGGCAAATAATTTTTTACCCAAAATTTTTACCTTTAGCACTTTTTTTTTTCAATCCCTGAGCTCAAATGGTACTTACAATTATAACAAGGTGTCTAGGTGGACAAAGAGGAAGAAGGTAGACATCTTTGCCTTCGACTTGATTCTCATTCCGTTGCACGTCGGGGGGAACCACTGGACCTTGGGATCGATTAACATGAAGGAGAAAAAAATTAAACTCTACGACTCTCTGAATATGACCAATACGAAATTCTTCGAGTACATGCGGCGCTACATCGTGGACGAGATGCGGGACAAGAAACAAATGGAGCTCGACGTGTCCGAGTGGGAATACAGCCTGGACGGCCGTTCGGAGGTGAGACGCGTTGACACAGACGAGGTTTTGTACCGTTCAGTGGGGGCCTCTTGTGAGGAGTTATTCGCCGTGTTCGTGGCTTCACCCCCCTTACCCCCCTCTCACCCCTACAGGTCGGAATCCCCTGCCAAGAGAACGGTTACGACTGTGGTGTGTTTACCTGCATGTTCGCCAAGTGCCTAAGCTTTAACCGCAGATTCGACTTCAGCCAACGGGACATTAAAGAAATTCGAATGAAAATGGTGAGTTATGAGAGGAGGGAGCGTGCGCGTGGACGACTTGCCGGGCGGTGACCATTATGTAGATGGTGTCCCGCTGCACCCATCACCTGACTCATTAGTTGTCCAAGCCCACATTCATTCCTTCCTTTTGTTCTCATTCCATTTCAATCCATTTCAATCCGTTTATTGTGTTTCTTTTCCGCGCCCGTCGCGCTGTTGCAGGTTTACGAAATATCGCAGGGCTGTTTGATCTTTTAAGCGCCCCCGAAGAGGTTGCACAAGGAGGAGTCCCCCGCACATGAAGCTTCTACACATGTTTGTTGTTCCCTCACTTAGTCGCATTACGCACCATTTCTTTCCACTTAATTATTTATTTTTTTTTTTTTTTTTGTGCTGTTGCGTGAGAGGTGAAGCTTGTGTCGTTGACACGGGCGATGAAGCCCGCACGTTGGAAGGCAGCCCCCGTCGTCAAGGGCGGCACAACTTTGACCTCCGTTGCGCAACTTAGCTTCTCCTTTTGTCCATAAAGGAGGTCACCGTGTGACAAAAGTGAATGCTCCCTGTGCTCTCTTTCGTGAAATTGCTTTTTTGGTGAAGCGATCGCCAACTTCATTTCATGAAAGCGATGACCGGTTTTTTTTTTTTTTTTTAATTTGTCATTTTAATTAAGGAAACAGAGTAATGTGCGTTTGGGGGTAGTTCCAAAACGCCTGAACAGTTCATACGGACATGTACATACAAAGTCTTTGTTTATGTTTTTTGTTTTTTTTTTTTTTTTTGTGTGTGTGCGTAGTCCCAGCTAGCCATGTCACCGCGGGGAGAACGTCCAAGTGGTCCCCAAAACGAGGTTCAAATTCCCTCGCAGGGGGGACACAGCTGAAGACACACCGCGACGCATTCGATGCGTGCCGAATGATGTATCATCAACTTTATAACATTTCTAAAAAGGTTAAACCACGTCGAACGACTGCGAACCACTTCAGAATGGCACCTGACCATTCAGGTGGAGACAAGACAAGTGGGCTATCTCCGTACCGTAGTCGTACAAAATTGGGTCCCTCCTCTGGTTCATGACTTCGTGTTCGAATATACACTTCTGTAGCTTGTCACTAAGGCGGGTCAGGTCCTGCGCGAGGGGGTAAAGAGGTAAGGTGGTAAGGCGGTGAAGGGATAAAACGGTAACGCGACCTAGTGGCTCCGCCGAGCACGACTGCCAACCCTCCTTGGGGAGGACCGTGCAGTGGGCTTACCCGCATTTGACTGAAGGCGTTGCGCGGAACGTGCACGAATTGAGCGATTTGCGTGCAAATGCTCTCCAAGGTTAGTGGGCCTTCAATCCGAAAAACACCACTGTCATTATCATAGTGGTAAGGACAAATCAAATAAATCACAGGAAAAAGAACCTCCTCAAAATCTTTGGCCACACCGTAGCGAATACTATGCTTAGCTGTATCGACACCGACCACATTAACAGGAATGGAATTCTTTTTTAAAATTTTGGACAGATCAACCATTAAAGATTTCATGCGCATATTCATAAAAATCTCGTTATTGTAAAAAAAAACAAGTGTTTTCACATTATTGTCAATAACGTTCTGCAAATATTCTGGTCTGATGTCTTTATACATGTGTATGTGCTGCTTAATTTGAAATAATTTGCACAATTTTCGCTGCTTCTCATTTTTCTCCTTCATATGTGGGATGTACAAACATATGAGTACATGAGGGAAAAACAACATCAGGGTGAAGCATATGTAAGGCAAAATAGTCGACACATACTGGTACGTGTACTCCTCCTTTGTTAATCTTCTTCTGTCAATGAGGAAGGACGACGGATCTTCGTTCGGTTGGTACCTTTGGATGTTATAGTAGTGTAGCGGTTCAACATTGTACTTGTTGAACAATTGTGTTATTGTACATTTCGTTTTAACTGATCCATGCACACTCGAGATCCCCCCCAATGAGCTGTGCTTCTTCTCCAGATCAACTCCTCTAATGTCTATAAAAATTTCCTTTTTATTTTGGTCCCTATTTAATTTCATTTTTTGAAAATCTTCTTCAAAAAAGTACATATCAAATTCGCTGAGTAAATTTTCCTTTTCCATCATCTGCATAAAATGAGACAAAGAGGAAAAGCTGCTTGGTTTAAAGAGGATCCTTTCATACAATAAATTTTGCTTCTTCAGACGGGTGAAGGTACCCACTTTGTCCATAATGACTGGGGGGAGTCCATCATTTTGTAAAATTTCCAGCAACTCTTTTGTGCATGTGCCTGTTTTTTCCTGACCTGTGCAGGCGATTTTTCCCATCACATTGTTGTGGCTGAATTCTTGGATGGAAATAAATTGGTACTTTTTTCTCTGCTGCCTCGGATTCAGCACAATCCTTAGTAGGCTGTGTGGGGGGGATCTGCTCAGCGGCGGGATCTTCATCAACGGTGGCATCTTCATCGAAAGGGGGGTGGGGTTCACTTTTTTCTCTTTTTTATTTTTTCTCGTGGTGGGAAAACGGGGGACGTATATTTAACCCTTGTAGGTTGGGTCCCTCCCGTTGGAATTGTGGCTCCTTTGTGGCTAGGGGAGGTCCCTAAAATGGGCACCTTCAACATAAATGCGGCCCCTGTGTGGCCGTCCTCCGCGGGTCCCTCCCTCCAAGCCTAACACCAGGGGGCGCGGGACCCGTTCGGAGTGTAGTCCACAAAGAGTCAACAATACAAAGGCATATATGCCCTGGTGCGGGAGGCATATTATACAAACATAACTCTTTATCCACTTGAACTTATGCGATAATACGCACCTGTTCATGTGTCACTCGGTGAGATGGGACAGACGTCTCCATTGGTCAACTCCTTGCGGGAGGGTGCGGGGCAACGAATCCTACAAAGAAGGGATTCCACACAAGAGATGCACAAGTGTTGTTTGTTACTTTGACATGGTGGGTTTCTCACGAAAAAAAAAAAAAAAAAAAGAGCTCATTTAAAACGGGGACTCTTAATTTAAGAACGCTTACATGTAAATGGTGGAGGCGGCATTTTGTCTCCGCAGATGGAATCCCCCCCCACCGAGGTGCGGCAACGAAATGGATACATATGCAAGTGTACACCGGCACGCCGCGGAGGAGTATAAACACGCAATGAAGCTCCCGTGTTTTCCAACGGTGTCAGGCAGAGAACTCTGCGCGTTGGTCATTCGTTTGGCTTACATATTCCTGTTTTGTTTGCACTTTTTCTTTGTGATCCTCCACTTAAATCGATTTAGCTGCCTTATGGGATTATTTCATTTTTTTTTTTTTTTTTTTTTGTTGTTTCCCCACATGTAATCGCGCAACTGGTCAGAATATAATCGGAACACTTGCTCATAATTGTGCATTCCTATCTGTGGATAACTGTTTCCTTCTTTTTTTTTTTTTTTTTTTTTTTTTTTTTTTTGTTTTATTCCCAACGGGAAAGAGTTTACCACTCAGGAGCGGCACGAAGGTATCATAACAACTGGGCCGTCAGTGGAGTGCTTATCCTTTTTTGTTGTGGCGAGGGGAACCTTTACGTAACACAATGCAGAGTAGGTAGGGCGTCCAGCTTTAAGCTGCTTTGTCTCCAGAGAACATGAAGAGGACAAAAACGTCCACTCCAAACGCTCGTTCATATTTTACTTACGTGTATCTGTTTTGTTTTGCCTCGCTCACATGATACAAATTTGTAAAGGTGTAAAATGATGAAGAACATGGTTAGTTACCCAAAGGAGGGGGATAGTCTTCACCTGAAGAAAGAAAAACGCGAGCGAGACAGTAGTGAGAGGCACCCCTGGGGAAGAAGACAATCAACTCGGGAGAGGCCTAATGACAAATGTTACACGTACAGGGGAACATGCGTCAATGAACGGAAAGCCATTGATCAGGCGGAGCAGATGAATCAGGAAAGTTTATTATTGAGTGTGTTGACTGCTGGGGGTGAATATGTTGCAGAGACGGAAGAAAAAGGAGGAGCGGCCAGCACTGTTCTTGTGTCCCATCACGATGGTACTTCACCTGGGTACACACACCATAGTGGAGAAATCAACGACACAGATCGGTGCCGCTCTCACAAAAACAAAAAGGAAAATGCTCAAGTCGATCAACAAGGCATTAAAACATATTACGAGTTATACAACGTGATCAAGTACCATAACATAGGTAGAGACCGAAGGAGGAGTAGGCTGCTCGATTTTTACAAAGAGGTAAAATTGAAGAGGGCGTCTAAGGGAAACCGACACAATGGTGATGTGATGAATGGAGAGAAAGGAAGGGGAAGAAAAATTCACTTACCCTTTGGACAACGGAAAGTGAATCATGAAGACGGTGAAAAGGAAGACCCACTAGAAAATATCTTAAGTCTTGAATGGAAGGACGACAGCTCCTCCAACTACATCCTCCAGTGCTGCAACGACCAGCTACTGAACAAGCAAGTAAAAATACACCACACGGACTTCATCGAAATTGAGGACATTTTTGATGAGAGGAAATTAAGTTTTGTAAAAAATAAAAAATTCTGTTTTTATAAAAATGGAGAAATGGATAAAAAATTCTGCAGAGACAAACAGGGGAGCAAGGTGGACTCTCGGCGGGCCACACAAAGGAATCATCTGAACGGGGCAAAAAGGAAGCAGCTGAACAGTCTCAACAGTGTAGAGGTGGAGGAAGAGCAGGAAGCGCTAGAAGAAGCGCGACAGGGTAGTCGGTCATCCTGTGAGGGGAAGAACACTTATGGGTGTCTTCCCCACCCAAATGAGAATCTCAATCAGGGGATCATCACAGGGGAAAGCCCCATTGGGGAGGAAACCCTCCAGGAGGACTCGCATGAACAGAGAGGTGATCACTCTTCCGAGGTGCAAATGGAAGACATAGACCTGCCGGATGGCCTCTCGGGGCCCAGTAAAGTAACTACTCCTTCCCAGGATGAGAAAGAACCCGTCCCGGGAGGAAACAGCTCAAATGAGCAAATCGACCCGATCGACCAGATCGACCCGAGCGAGGTGGACATCGACGGAGAGTTCGCCTTTGAGGAGGGGGATGATGACGAGTTTGCAAATGACAAGGGAAGTACCCCCAAGAATGTGGAAGACAATTTAGTGGAGAAGGAAGTCTCGAGCGTCGAGGGCAATGCGAACGAGGACGATAGCTTCCTGTCCGATCTCTACCTGGGGGACAAGGACGATACAAAAGGGGAAGGTGCAGACGAGCTTAAGGAAGCCGATGAGGAGTATGACTTGGACCGCGAGTTTGAAGAGGTGGAAGTGAAGGAGGCGCTTGACGGAGGACAGGATGAGGACAGCTTGATGAATTTGTTGGCGGACGAGATGGTGGTGGGCAGCGACGCCCCAGGAGGGGCAGAGGTGGAATTTGAGCAGGAGGATGGGTTGATCAGTCAGTTTGAGGAGGAGGGACTGGTTGGTGAATTTGAGGAGGAGGGACTGGTTGGTGAATTTGAGGAGGAGGGATTGGTTGGGGAAAGCGCCGAGTCAAAGTTGCATCAACACGATGCCGACTCAGGCAGTGTTGCAAAAGTAAGCGACCTGTTTGACGATTTAGACGTGGGAGAAATGGGAGGGGAGGCAGAAAGGGAAGATTCTCTACTGCGCGAACTGGACGAAGTGGACTATGGGAAGGAGGAGCAGAAGGAGGGGGACAATGACGAAGGGACAAAGCATGAACAGGCCCCATCGAGGCAGGCACAGCAGGACGGAGAAGACGATGCCCCCATGCACGTGAACGTGGAACAGGATTTTATTAAGGACCTGGGCTTAACGAAGGAAAGAGAAAATATCACATACAACGTCATGATGTACCCATATGATAATCTGGCAGATGGTCTGAATGGGACAAACTACGCAGGGGTCCAGCAAAAACAAATGGCTTCTCGGGAAAACAAATACAAGGGGGAGAGTTACGACTTTTTTAAAAACATATATCGTGATTATTCTAATCAAGCTGATGAGTCCCATCAGTCCAATCAGTCCAATCAACCTAATAAACGGAGTGACGACGAGCTGCACCTCTTCGGCGCAGACATCACAAAAAATGCTTACCTGTACATGCTTGAAACGTATGCACATTTGTACAAATACAATCACGTAAACGTTTTGAACCCCTTCAGTGGTAAAGATTACACTGATTATGTTTTTAAGGACAGGAGGATGGAGAGCGAGTTGATATATGATGAAAAAATTATTGAAGAAGTTTTTACAATTGATGAAGGGGAGAGAAAGTGGGGGGAGGGGACAACACTTCGTCACGGTGCAGGTATAGCTACACATGGAGAACGGTCCGTTTATAAAAAGGAGAATGAAAAGGAAAGGGATATTCGACGTGATTTCTTTATAAAGGGGGGAGTAGCAGGACCGACCACGCAACAGGTGGAGGGGTACGCCTCGGTGATGACGCCAAGTGGTACTCACGGAGAAGGTATGATGATGCATCAGTACAAAAGAAATCAGGGCAACATTCATGGGTCCACCTCCTTTATGAAGCAAACGAACGAAATGTTTTACCTGCACATGGGGACACAAGCATTTGATTTTAACTACACGGGTGATGGGGTTGCGGCTGGAGATGGTCCATGGCAGCATGTTCACCTGGACAATTTCACAAGCATATGGAATCATTTGTATTCTAAGAGGAAGCACTTGGAAGGAAGAGAAGAAAAAAAAAACTTCATCTTAGAAGAAATAAATAAAAAGCTAGCTAACCAAATACAAAGGAATGAACAAATTACATATCTGTTGAAGAATTTTTTTTTAAGGAAACCCCCCACATCTGATATGTTGCTCAACTCACTCATTTGTTCACGTGATGAGTTTAAGCAGGTTTTCAATCAGCAGTACGATTTTTCCCTGTTGGAGACTGTCGCGAATGACACCTCAGAGGGGTCGAATTTCAATTCCATCTCGCTTAATCACATTGGTGATGCGTTGCATTCTGTTGTGAAGAAGAGAGAGGCGATGGACCCCCTGGCTGCCCCATTCGGAGTGACCACATTCCCCACAGAACATGCATCCACTAACCCAAATGAACAAACCAATATCTTTATTCAAAATAAAGAATTGAGACTTGGGTGTATCGAGAATATTTTGAGCAACAGTAAAAATATTTTTTTCTTTACTAATCTCAAGTTAGACACTTGCTATAAGAAGAGGAACCCCCACGAAATTGAAAACGACCGAGTGTCCCTCAGCACTGTATATGTGCACACCCGTATGGCCAATGCATATTTTTACAATTACGAATTATCAAATAAGAAGGGCGTTATTGCTTTTTCTCGCTTCCACAAGTTAGACTTTAGGACTTCCATCGCGGCACGCTCTTGTCTGGACCCTAGGGAGGACGGCCAATCGGACCGACCCGATTATGTGCAGCGGTTCGATTATGTGCAGCGGCTCGACTATGTGCAGCGGCCCGATTATCTGCACCAAGCGGAGGGGGTGAATTTGAGCGCGATCAAGTGGAACGTGCTGAGGGCGGCCATACGCAAGGGAGGCGTTCTAGGCGACGCCTTTTTTGACTCACCGAGGAGGGAATCGACGGAGGACCTGACCAGCGCCGTACGAGTTGCCCACTCGGTAGAAACGGCCAACTCCGTAGAAGCGGCCAACTCCGTAGAAGCGGCCAACCCAGTACAAGTACCCAAGCTAACGCTCAAGCTGAACGCCAAGAGCATTCTCCCCCCAAAGACTCAACGCCGCGCAGAGCACCAACTCGACCTCCTGACGAACCTACTTCTCGACCCAGAGTTCAAAATCAGTAGTAGCTACAAAATTGATAAATGGGACATACAAAACAGATGCGAAAAATTACCCATGCTTAATTATAATGAACAAACGAAACAGGAAAACCCAGCCTTCTTCTTCTACGACACTTCATGCTTACATCTGTGTGATGATAGCCCCCTTGTGATTCTCGAGTATGTAGAAAGAGATCCGATGGTGCTTCCAAAAATTGGTATGAACAGCAAGGTGAAACATTATTTCATGTGTAAGAATGAAGAGAAATTGTTCTCCTTTGATTTTAAGAGGAGGGTGAAGAGGGACGTGGAGCCCTTCGGGGAGATCAACGTAGTACACCAACCCATCAGCTACTTTGGCGTCACCGTCCGCACGAAGAAGCCGACCCAGAAACTTAGTTTCCTCGAAAATGAACTCTTCAAGGCATTCCTCTTCACCCCGCCCGTGTACCTCGCGGGAGGAGGGGAAGGAGCGGAAGCTCTGCCTGATGGCGAAGAAGAGGAAGCGGGTGAGGTGAATAACCATCTTACCGCTCCCCAGAGTACCCCACCACGGCCAAACGAAACAGGTGTAGGGAACTCCCCTCAGAACAGCAACCAGGAAAACCTCTTTTACGAAACGGACTTTCTCCTCATAAGGAACACCTGCGTAGGGTCTCAGAGCAGAGTTTTTTTGAAGCCGCTCCATGTGGATGTAAACTTGTACAAGGAGGTCGCCAAGGAGAAGAGAGATGCGTTGAGGGATGCGTCGAGAGATGCGTCCCAGGGGGAAGTTAAAGAAGCCATTACGGGACGTATGCCCGTAGGGGAGGAGCAGGAGGAGGAACAGGAAGATGCGGATCAAAACGAAGGAGAAGCAGTACTGGAAGACAACACCAACCATGGAGAAGACACCCCCTGTTCGCCCCCTCACAACTGTGTGTTTTACAATGTAGGCTTCCTCGACCTGCATGTGGACATGACCAACCCAACGTATAAAAAGTACATCACAGAAAAGAGAAATTATGTACGCAGCTGGCTGGTGAAGTTAATACAAAAGCACAAACTTAAGGACACGAAAAAAATTAAAGAAATGTTAAAAGCAAAATTAAACACTTTTATTAATGAAAAGGATATGAACGCAATTGTTAAGTCGCTCGACTTGAATGTGTTATTGAGCAAAAACTACCTGAACGAGGAACAACACAAGAATGTTTTTACTTTAAAAAATGTATGCACGATAGAGTGTACATACCACTACCTACAGTTGCTCAAATACGAAGGAATTAATTTTAATAAAATGATGGAAGAGGAAGACAAGCTAGATAAACTCATTTCCGTCCTCAAAGTAGAACGAGTAAGAGCAAAACAGAATATGGAAACCATGAAAAAAAAAATGAAAATGACTTACAAAAGATATTGTTATAAGAAGGAAGCAAAGACTATAAATTTTGAGCTAAAAAAAAAACACATTAATATAAAATTAATAAAGAATTACAATTACGTCGGTTCACATTTTTACGACAGACATATGTTGCACTACTTGCTGTACATTAAGTACCTTATTTCTTGTTCCCCCTGGAATGTGCTAAAAGATTTCAGCTGCGCACCATCGCAGGGGACCAGGCAGGGAGATGACAATGTTGCGGGGGAGGATGCAGACGGAACAGAAGCGGGAGTAGCAGATGGAGGAGGAGGACGACGAAGGAGGAGAAGGAGAAGGAAGAAACATGAAATGAAAATGAACAAGAAAGAAAAAACAAAAAATAAAATTAAGAGGAAGAGAAGGAGAGGCAGAAAGACAGATAACGCCACTAAGGGGGATGCCCCTTCCGAGGTGGACTGGTGGGAGGGAAACCACAGTGGAAGAAGGAGAGGCGCAACGGTAGAAAATGCAAACGGAAGAGGGAGGAACAGGCCCGGCCAAGATCAACCGTTCACATCGGACGAACAGGAAGATGATGATGAGGAGGAGGACGAGGAGGAACCCACCAGGGAAGACGTCTCGAGTGAAGAAGACGAGTATGGAGGCCAAGCAGTGGCAAAGAAAAAGATGCAGTCCAGCACAAGGGAGGATCAGTCAGAGGACTCCACTGTGGAAGGCACACATCCGGAGGAGGAGGAAGAAGAAGAACAGCCGCAGAAGCGGACGAGGCGACGACGCAAAGGTGCAGGAAGAAGGGGAGGAGCGCCAAATGAAGACAGCAAGAACGATGATCAGGAAACAGAAAAAGAAACAAACGATAAGAGACCCGACTCTGGGGCAAATAAAAAAAAAACGAGGAAGAATTATTCATACGCAACGTACCTGTTTAATCATGTAGTGTGTAACGAGGCCCTCACGCAAAATAAAAACAAATCAAATGAGGAAAATGGACCCCAACAGAAGCACGACCCGAGGAGGAATGACAAGTCTGTCGCCTCCAACTGGACAGGAAAGGCCAAGCTGTTCTCACGAAACGGTAGTGTGCACAGGAGGGAAATGGCCAATAGAGATAAAAGGGATGAAAAGAGGACCGATAAACGAATTGAAAAAAAAGGTAGCCGTATGTATGGTGCGAATAATAAAGGTTATGTCTTTCACGGCAAGGGAAAATATAACTTTAGTTACTTCCACACGAAGAAGAGGTTGGGCTTAGATCGAGATGAGGTAGTCAGTGGGGGGAGGTTTGCAGGACCCCAGGGTGAACGTCGAACAGGCAGGTATGAAGAAGAGGGAGAGAGAGAAGCAGAGGGAGAGCAGGGAAACACAGATGATGAGGTAGAAGATGTGGAGGATGATCAATCCAATTTTGTTAAACGGCACCGCGCTAACCCTGATGGGCACGCACCAGATGCGGGAGGAAACAATCAACTGGCACGTGGAAAAAGGCACATGCGCGGTGGAGTAGGCAGAATGAACGAAGAACCGGAGAAAAAAAACACCAGAAGTGAGAGCGCGCCCTGTACTACCCGAATCGTGGCTCATCTGACCTCGAGAGACATTGCGAAGGCGCTCCTGTCCATTGGATTTAACATGGCCGAGCTAAGGAAAATGAGTAGAAGCGATCAAATAAGTAAGCTCAAGGCATGCATCCGGAATGGCAGAGTAAACGCACAAAATAAAATTATCTACACTTGCATGGTGAAAAAAATTATCATGGAACAATTTAAGAATCTGCATGTACCGGTTCATTTGAAGATGAACAACAACGTGTTGTACATGAGCGAGAGGAAGGGGGTGGCAGGAAGCGATCACACCGGTGGTTCCCTGGAGGGGAATAGAAGCAACGCCCTCGTAAATGCCTCCAACGCGCTACGCCAGGGGGAGAATGGCTACCCAAACGAAGACTACACCAAACTGTACATGCAAAGTAAGCAGAAGAGGGTTGAGAAGAATCGCATTAAATTATTGAGGAGCTTTTTTCAATCCCCTGCCAGTGACGCAGACGAGTATGCCTCCTTGTTCTTCTCGTCCTCCTCATCGTCAAGCACGACAGATAGCTCCTCAGAGTCCTGCTCAGACGACACTTCCCTCCGTCTGGGGGACGAAACCATGTCTAGCAAAATCAAGCAGAAGGATAAAGGGCCACACATGGGAGGTAAGCACAAGCGGGCAGGTCGCGGATGGGACCATGAACAATCGGAAGAGGAGGCGGAAGAGGAAGAAGAAAAGAAGCACCTCGAAGTGATAAGGGAAATACAGACCAAGAAAAACAACTACGAGGATAATAAGAATAATTATAAAATGGTGCATTGTCTCAAATGGACAAGGGTGTATGTAAACAGGAGCGACCATAACAACGATGGAGTTGGTGGGCACGCAAATGCACCTTTCCAGAGGTATGAACAATTCAAAGGAGGATGGGACGAAAATTATAATGGTGGTGGGGAGGGTGCCGTACACCGGTCAGGTAAAAACCCCTCGCACATGTTGTTTCCTCATCCGGGAAAGACACAAGAATCATTAGACAATGCTAGACGAGCAGACAAGAGAGACCAAGCCATGTTGAAACACCCCATGAAAGACATGGACCATTTTCTGTTCGATGAAAAAGCAAAAATCGAAAGGGTCCACACTGTGTACATATATGGAGAAAAAAATATCAACACCTTTCTTCGGTGGAAAAGCTTTAGATCTGTGGTCAGAAAATATTTTACTCTCGTGAATGCAAATTATATGAATGAACATGATGTGGGGGATGAAGGAACCACCATGAGAGATAAAGTAAGTCACAGGGATAATGCACCAGGGAATAGGGGCCCTCATTTACATGGTGACGATGATGCAGATGAAAGTCTTGCACAGGATAATTTATTCTCAAATGGAGTGAAGAAAAGAAGACATAGGAGACGTAGGCGAGGAATGGAAGCAGGAGGTGTAGGCATGACGACAGGCTCCATATATTCTGCCCCCACCTTCAAAAACGTCCTTCGAATCTTCCCCACCATCGGAGAAGAATTAAAGACGTGGCACTCGGGAAAGAAGCACACAAATAAAAATGATTTGAAACAAGAGAAGGAGAAGAAGAAAAAGAGAAGGGGTAAAATTATGCACGAGGGTAGTAACAAAGGAAAGGAAAGGAAGAAACGCAAAAGAGGAGAGTTCTATGTGGATATGAATACCAGCGCGGGAAAGCTCATGGGAAGAAAATACGTTAATACAAATTATTCTGTTAATATTAAGATGAACAAACCGATACATACATCTGCATCTATGGCAGCCTCGAGACGTAGGAGGTTGTATCCCTCGGCGATTGATCAGACTGCCCAGGGGGCCCTGCAAAAAAGAGGAAAGAGCAGGAGACGAAGAACCGTCACTGCTGCCGCTGCTGCTGCGTTGAATGGTAAAATGAAAAACTCCAGGAGGGGATTCTCTAGCGACTTTACCAATGAGGACGACGAAGCAGGGGAGGAGACCCCCGCAGAAGTGGAGGGAGACACGGACGAATGGGATGAGGCGGATGAGGCCGCAGAATATGCCATGGCGAAGGAAACGAACGAAGCGCGCAAGCGAAGACAACTGAGGAGCCAAGTGTCCAAAAGCAAGAGCTCCTTGACGCTGTCGTTGAAGGATGAAGAGGAAGATTCGTATCGAACGGGTAACAAAAGGAAGAGGGCAAGGGAAGAAGTAGAAAAGGGAAGCGATAGGAGGGCCAAAAGGGGAGACCTGACGGAGCAGTTGAACGATGAACACGAGCAACATCTCCCGCCAAATGCGCCTCACACAGGTGAAAGGAACATCAGAAGAAGCACGAGCTTACTAGTAGACGACAGTGCAAACGCAGCCATCGGATTCAATGAAAAGAATGATGGAGAAAGCGCAAGGAAAAAAATGAAAAAAGGAAACACGTATAACAATATAAAGGAAGTCATTGAAAGATTTAATGAGCTTCTCATGTCCATCATGTCGAGCATCGCAGAAGTGATGAACTACAAAGCCTTCCTCAACGAAGTGAACGAAAGTTACGCCCCCATGTACTACACAATTATTAAAAAGCCCATGTATATAAACAAAATAATTTTCCGGTGCAAAAAAAGAAAGTACAATAGTTTAAATGTTTTTTTTGAAGACGTTAATTTGATCGTTAGCAATTGCAAACTGTATAATACTCCCACGTCGGTCAGTGCATACCTCTGTGTCATCGTGGACAACATGCTTCTTGACATTGTTAACAAAGTCAAGTCCGATGAAAACTTACAAAATTATAATAATATCCTCATCGAACACTTTTATAAGAACAAAAGTTTGAATAACACGTGGGAGAGCCTCAGCATGGATATGGGAGGGGCAGCAAGTCAGCATAGTGGGGGAGGCTTAACCGTTGCAAACAACTCCGTGTCATCCGTCAACATGCAGTCCAACGAGGTGAACTCGAAGGACGCACCTGCGGGGGAGGGCACGTGAGCACACCTTGAAATGGCTACTTTGGTTTACAGTCCTAGCGCTGTGACAAACATGCGGGGGGGAAGGCCATCCATAACTTTTTTTTTCCTTTTCTTTTCCCGCTTCATAGGGCAGAATGCACCCCTGTGCCCCTCCCCCCAACAAACATATATACCTGTCGCATTTGATACTTTTGGAGAGAAATGCTTTAATCCAATTTGGTCATATATCAAAGTTGTCTTTTTTTTTTTTTTTTTTTTTTTTTATACACACCGTACATACGTGTGTGTGTGTGTGTATTGTTATCGCCTGACTTGTTCATTTTTTTTTTTTTTGAACGACAAATGTCCTACATAATAGACGCTTCGAATTGACGTATCGGCAAAGTCAGTATGGTGGGGGGCGATAACTGTTGAACGTTTGCCCTCTGGGAGGCCATCCCAGACAAGGAAAAAAAAAACAACAAAAAAAAAAACATCACTTATTGTTTCGTTCCACGCGAATGAATAGCAGTTGTTCCTTCTACTTTGGAACACCGTCGTAAAAAGAGGGTTTATAGTGGATGCAACTGATAGTACAGCGGAACACAAGGTAAAATGACGCGACAAGTTGTGTAACCATCAAATCTGTCCCCGGATAACTCTTCATACACGCTTAGCACCGTCAGTTGGGACATACAAAAAAAAAAAAAAAAAAATTAAAAAAAAAAATAAAATAAAACAAAAGGAAAATATGCACAGGGGGATTCTTCTATTCGATTGAAAAAAAAAAAAAAATGCCAATTGGGGCTCCGCAAAAAGTTGCGGCGGTGCGCAAGTGGGAACAAATGTGTAGCGGGCAATGGCAACAGGGGAAACAAAAATAATAGGTGAATCGAAGCAACGTGAAGCAAAGTGAAACAACGGAGGTGCTACCGTCTTTATGACCACACCTTTGTGAGAACACACGCGCCAGCGATGCCAACCCAACTTGTGGGGCAATCCCAGGAAAGATCCCCCTTACCCCAAACTTCCTTTGTGTAATCCCCTCGAGTGGATTGAAGTCGCGGCCAGGTCCATCCCCCAAATTCTTGCGTAACACAGATGTGTGTAACACTTCCTTTCATTCTGTTTAGTAAGAGTATCCCCCTCTTTTTTTTTTTTGTTCTCCCTTTGCCGACAATTGGGGGGGGAAGGTGTGAAGTGCTGCACCAAGGGGAACGATCCCGCAGAGAGCTTCCGTCCCCCGCGCGCAAGCCACACACGTTCCCTTTTCTGTGCTGCGTCTGCAGAAGTGACGATATGCACTGTGTGTTTTTACCTCAAGGGTGTGTACTGGCAGGGCTCGGTGGCGCAACGCAGCAGAGCAGAGGTACACATTGCCCCTCGTTACTTAACCGCGCTACCACAAGGCGTCACGTCTGCTCTTCCCCACTACCCGCTCCCCCGTGATGAAACCCTATAGTATAAAGCGGACGTATGAGTGCCTGTATACGCACCAGAAAACACAGAAGAGTAAAAAATGGCAAGAGGGGTACTGCGAAATTATAGCAAGCTATGGGGTCATCAAAATGAACCTCCTGAACCAAAATAGAAGTTGCATTGAGACCTCACTGAGTTGTGAAGCAGCATTCAACAACATAGAAGAGGAGATAGAACTCCCCAAGCATTTGATTCAGTTCGTGGACATGACCAATTATGACGAGGATATCATTACAAATGAAACCAGCAAAAAAAGAAGACATTTATCTAGCACACGAAATGAAGAATCTGTACATGCAAATAAAAATAAAAAAATCACAGCACACTCGGGGATAAAAAATTCAAGAGAATCCATAGGGTGGGAGGCACCCACAGTGGACAATCAAACCGATTCTACCTCATTGACTGTTCGCACCACAGATAGGTATATGTGTACTAATAGGGACTTTGAAAGGCCAAGGCGGATAGGAAAACACGTGCATGTGGACAAGGACGAAGACTTACATGGTGAAGCGACACAACATGTGGACGCAGACAATTCTGTGGCTGACTCATCAGAAGGAGAATACCAAGACAGGGGGAAAAAAAAAAAAAATTCAATGCATACAATCGCATCACGCAATGTGTCCAACACGAGTGAGGACAAAGAACGAATCAGTGTAACCTACACAAACATACGTACCTTTAACACAAATAAAAAAAATGTCAAGTGGTATGATGGGTTCCTCGTGAAGAAAAACGATCTCCTAGAGCTTTATAATGACTCAGGGGGAAGGCTATACGTTCGCAGTACTGATGAAAATATGCAACAACAGGAGTATGTTCAGTTCGGGGGTTACATCGTGTACAATGATTTCTCTGTCCACCTTGCGCAGCATCAACAAGTAAATGCTGGGACGAATGTCGGAAGAACTAGTGACATGTTAAAAGGTGCTAGCCTCGTGCATGGGGCGAGGATACCTGCACAGTTACATCAGATGCCAGGGAGGAAGGGCGACTCGGAGGGGGATACTAACGCTGATGAGGAGGAAGAGACAAATGAGGAGGCGGATCCTGGTTCAGATAATAATTATCGTGTCGACTCCACCGCGTCCATAAAGCGACGGGCGAATCAAAACCCCGACGCAGAGGCAGTAAGTCTGTTCAACAAACATACAGAAGGGAACGAGTGGCCCTCTTGTCCTTCTGAAGCGAACCGCAGCCACATGGATACTTCACCAATAACAAAGGAGCAACTTAGGACGGATGACCACGGCGGGGACAGTGACTCTATTGGGGAAGGGTGTTGTCAGGACCGTCAAGTGCACCACCATCGGGGTCGTTGTGAAGCGGGTCGTTGTCAAGCGGGTGGTGATGAACCGGGTGATGATCAACCGGGTGGGCGACGCCGATGGAAACGGGTGGAGGTCCCCCTGTACAAAAACCCAAAGGGGCGTAGCGCCGCATATGTGTGCTCCTCTTGCAGACACAAAATCAACACATACGAGGAGATCATTAATATAGCTAAAGTGGTTAGTGAGAATAATTTTGCGTGGGTGAATCCACGACGAAATGTTATAAGACTTACACTGGGTATCAAATTGCTCAGCAGGCGTGTTAGGAAGGGACTGCCCCCGCGACCGCCTCCGAGTGGTGGGAACAGCGGTCACCACAGAGATTGTGATAGAAGGCCCTTCTGGGGGGACAGAAATGGTGAGACGCAACCCTTCTCGAGTGACAGAAACGGTCAGATGAGGCCCACCTGGGGCGACAGATACGGGGACAAGCAACAACCCTACGGTCATGACAGAGTGCGTGACAAGCAAACGTACCGCCATGACAGGGTGGGTGAAGACAGCGCCCATGACAGAGATGGTGACAAGCGACCGTACGGCAGCTCCACCGAGGCGAACTCGAATGGGGAAGAACCTGGGGAGGCAGCCACGTCGGAGGTGGAGTGGGACGCAAAAAATCAGCAGCACGTTGAGATGATCCGTGATGTAAGCTTCGAGACGAATTACCAGGAGGAGATACACAAAGTAGAATCATCCGCCACCATAGAAGGTCCCCACCTGAACCCGTATGAAATAAAAAGTCTGAAGAATTTTGCCTGCACGAATAGCGGGTTCAATGCATCCCAGGTTGATCAAGTCTGCAGACAAAATTTATTCCTACCCATGCATATAAGCATTTTAAAAGAAAAAGACGATATGAAGAAAAAAGTAAAAAGTATAAAATTTCAGAGTATCCCCAATTTCTTTATTAACAAGTTAGAATATATTCAGTCCTTTATGAACGCTACCCTTTTTCATATATACTATCAAGTCCAATGTAAGTTACTCTGTCTCCACGATTACTTGGTACCCTTGTTAGATGAGATGAGGGGGGACTATGTTAGGGTTGGCAGATCCCTACGACACAGCAGCATGCTAGAGATGGTGAACTACATGAAAGGGCATTTTGTTGATTCAAGAAGTGATGAAGATTTGCCCACTGTAAGTCGTCACCTACAAACTAATCACCCCAATGAGGAAGGGAACAAAAAGAAGAAAAAGTACCACCTCGACGATGATTATACCTTGGTGATTCGAAACATTGAAGTGTTATGTAGCTCAGAGGAAGAAACGACTAATATGTTTGGTGATAATAAAAACCAGGACCGAGTTTCACATTGTTTTGTGAGTGAGTCGGATACCAAACCGAAGAGATTTTTTATTAGAAGAACTGAAAAAGATGTCTTACTGGTAAATAAAAAAAAAACAAATAAACTTACAAAAGAAGAAGATATAAATAAATATGTGCACATGAATCATCTAATCGTTATGAGTAGAGGGATGTCGTCCTCCCCATCTCCTTCCCCCGCCTGGGTGAAAGATCAACATTTACTTCTTTTTGTCGCCAAATGGAGTAATTTTAAGCAGAACTACCTCGAGATATACCCCCTAAACGTTAATACCTTTTCCTACATGAATGAAGCATTCCATGCCGTGCAAAGTGTAAAGTCAAAGGAGTTTTTATACTTCCTCAAGAGTTACAAAGTGAAGTCTTTTTCTTCTTGTCTCTTTCTGGTCAATTTAGGGGATCACCTAGATAATTTAAAACACCTTTTTTTTTTCCACCAAAATTTAGAAAAAGGAATGGTTCCACTCAGTAAATTATTCAGCCCTCCTTATGTGAACAAAAGTGACACACTACAGGTTGATGGGTTGCTCCAGCAGATCGGCATCAGGACGTCTGCATGGGGTTCTTCTTCCGACCTCATCGACCTGCACAATGTCGGGGTCGATTACATGGATGACCTTCTTAGCAGACTCCGTAACGACCGACAACTGAACCAGAGGCAGAAGTGGGTCATCGAGTGCATCTTGGCCTGGTTCCGATGCGGCACGGAGAAGAAGTGTGACCAGAGCGAGACCACCTCCTCGGCTGGAGAACCGAGCGAAGACGAGCTGCCGCCACCGACGTGCGACGACACACGCACGGCCACCCACCGCGGAGACAGCATCCTCGTCAATGGTATATTCGGGTCGGGAAAAAGCACCCTCATCTGCAACGCCATATGGTACCTTGACCAAGTGCTAACCCATGAAGAGAAAGCAGCAAAGGCGGCAAAAGCTAAAAGAGGCCAGACAATTGATCAGGGAATAGAGGAAAGAAGCGGCCACAATGGTGCAAGTGACGGAAGCGACGGAGATGAGGAAAACCATTTGGGCGAAACAAGCCCTCCCCTACTTACCCAAATGGATCACAGAAAACCCAGCCAATACAAGAAAAAAATACTCCTCATGTGTAATACAAATCTGGCAGTAGATAATATCCTACTGAAGCTGAAATTCCATTTTGATTTTCATGATTATGCTAGAATTGGAAATATATTTGAAATTAATTTTTTTTTAATAACAAATTTTATTAGTATAAATTCGAATGAAGAGAGGAAGGCGATCGAGGTGAAGAATTACGTACAGAGTCTTTCCCGCTCCGCTAAGTGTACACCCACCATTAGTAGTGACCCTTCCCTCAGCGAGAGTGTTTCACCTACCCGGGCTGAACCCAAGCTGCATAAAATAAAAGACATGGACAAGCTTATTGAAGCGTTGATGAAGAGGAATAATTTCGTCTTCCGAAACAAGTACAGGAACAAGAGGGTCATAGCAGGTACATGTAAAAGTCTTCAAATATATGAAAAACTAACTACAATAAAAAAAAGCATTGATTATCTTATAGTAGATGAGTGCACCCAGATAGATGAGCTGACTCTGTTTCAGTTTTTACTCAAATTTGAAATTAGAAAGTTCCTCCTCATTGGGGATGTGAAGCAGTTGGGGGTTGTACTCAAAAGTCCAAGTGATTTGAAAAGAAGCATGTTTTCGCGTCTGGTCGAGAATGAGCTCTTTATAAAACACCACTTGGCAGGAATAGGGGTTGTAACGAGGGACCAGGGTAGTAATAAGAGAGGCTCTCGTATTGCAGAAGACGCGGAGGGTACTGAGGAAGGGCCTATCGATCGCATCGTTCACCGTGTGAGAAGCATGAGAGCAGCAGAATATTCCGCCCTTAGAAGTTACCTATATGATAATATGTTCGCTCTTCATGGAGGGGACAACCATACATATGAAGGGGAGGATATGAATGAGGAGAATCCTTCACCACGAACGACGCTCTGTACAGAAACGTCCATGCAGAGAGTAGTAGCACCACGTGCAGGTATCAATCACCTCATACTTATGAATGAGCAATTCAGATGCCACCCTGAGATTAGCTCCATATGCAGCCACCTCTTCTACAATGGTCTAATAAAAAATGCATTGTGCACAGAGACCATCCCACTCATGTACAAGCGTTACGAATCTCATGTTAATTTTATTCTATTGAAAAATGCACCTCGAGAAATGACCTTTCAGTCAACCTTTACCAATGGAGAAGAGGCGAAAATCATTTTGGCGCTCTGTGAGAAAATGGTTGGGTCTTCTTCCATCGACCCTGAACAGATAGGAATAATTTCCTTGTTCAAAAACCAAGCATTTTATATTAAGAATAAAATGAAGCAATCTCCTTATTACGAGCGCCTGCGAAATGTGAAAGTCAACACTGTGGACTCCTTCCAGGGGATCGAGAAGGACATTATTCTCTTTTCCTGCGTCCTGGGCGAGGTGAACGGAGTAAGCAAACTTGAAAGAGTGCGCCACGATCACACCACTGACTGGCGTGATGACTCCTTCCATGCGTTCTGTAACAACAGGAACCGCATAAACGTTGCGCTCAGTAGGGCGAGGAGCCAGCTGATAATCGTCGCCCAGAGTAGCTTCGTGGAGAGCAATCGGGTGTGGAGTTACATCAAATCTCGCGCAAAGGTCTACCACTACGATTGAAGTGGGGGTGAATCGCATCGTTTGCGTAAAAAAAAAAAAGAAGAAAAAAAACGCGTATACTATGCCCCCCTCCCAGAGGAGGCACCCCATTGCAGGGGTCACAGCGGGACGACGTAACGCTTGGCCTCGTGTTGCAGGACGTTGTAAACTGTGAAGGTCTTCTTCCGCGTGAAGGACATATCGGAGTTAGAAATGATAGAGTCACTGGTGTCCTCAGAAGCATAAGAAATGAAGCTGTTGCATGTGTTATCGGAAATGCAGATGAAGTGAGGAAGAGGGTACAGGAAGAGGAAAGAAGAGTACCTCTTCAAAATTCTGTTGTCATGTGGGATTGGATAAATGTGGCTTTGCCCCACTATGGTAGATACAAAAATATTTTGTAAATTATTTTTCTCACTGTTAGATGCATTAATGCTTGAGCTCCATATTAAGTCATTTAAAATGTCTTGTCTGAAGAAGATCATTTTTTTGTTGAAGTGACGGATTCTACATGGGTTCGTGGCAAAAATAATCTTCTTCTTGGACGAAAAAAAAGATTCTATATTATGTTGGAATTTTCTAACATAGTATGGTAGGATGGGCATTTGAGGAATGCTATTTTTACATGCACATGGGTCGTTTTTACCAGGAATGAAGATCAAGTAGCAATTTTCTAAGATGATTTTAAACTTGGATATAAGCATGACCGATAATTTTTCAAAGCCTTTTATATATACGTTATGAAAATTTTTATTATAATCAAATTTGAGGCTTATAAAATCTCCCATGAATATGAACCCTACAGGGAGTTCATTTTCAGGATACGTGTTTACGTACAGAGAGAACATTTTATCGAGCACCTCGAATGTGTACGGATTGTCCAGGTACACATCATGCATGATGATCCAGTTTTTTTTTTTATCATTTTTGCGTACGATGATTTCGTACTCCTCCACTTGTTTTTTCTCCTTTTCGTTTTCAAAGTCGTAGAACATGTCTTCTTCGTTTCGCTCCTCTTCGAAGTTTCTAAGTTGGGGGGCAAGAAGAAGCGGCGCGGCGATGGAGCGGGGACGCGATAAGGCGCGCACGCGTTTATTTGATGGAGCGATGAAGAGATACGGCGGCGGGCGCGCGCGTACCTGGGGGGGTGCATGATCTCCGCGGCGTAGAAGGTCTTGTTGGCGAGGCGCATGCGGCCCTGCACCAGGATCACGTGCCCGATGCAGTACAGCCCGTGGTTTATCACGCACTCCCGGTTTAGGAACAGCTTTATCTCGTTACGTATGCCCTGGATGACCATATCGCCATCGCGATTCAGCCCCAGAATGCCAATCACATGTTGGTGTCCCGTGTTCGTTAGCTTAATTGCATCCACAGATGTGATGATTGTTTTGTTTTTAATGTGTATCTCGTTTAAAGCGTCTGACCAAAACAAAACGGAGGCATGTCCCTTCGCTTTCTTCGTTAGCAAGTGATATTTTAACTCGTAAAATTCTACGTCCGTATTTGCATCTATGTAGTTGTTATAATTGTCTACAAAATCTGTTTTTTTTTTTTTAATGAATTTCATTTTTTTTTCATCATAGCAGAAGTGACTCAAATCGATGAAGCAATTAAAAACTTTTATCGCATCTGCATATTTGTCCTTATAAACTTTTATGGAGTCTTCGAAAATTCTGTTTTTGTGATTTCCTATCATGTGTTCAATTTGCTTGGTGCTCAAGTTGGCAGACTCATCGACATTGCTTCTACACTGACTCACCAGATAATGAATCAGATCTGAATCGAACTTAGCAATATCGACCACACTCTCCTGTTCCCTACTCCCCTCCCCGATGACCTTCTCCTCTTCTATATAACTCTGTTCATATATAAATTGTAGGCCATCCAAATTGACACTTACCTTATGGTCGTACAGATAGGCGTACAGGGATATGTGACTGATGGACCCATTGAAGGCGAGAAACACATCGTCGATGATGCTATCTCCTTCATTTTTAATCCTTATTATATTTTCTTCTATATTTGCCAAGTATAGGTTGATGTTCTTTATGTCGTGGTAGTTCCTGGCGCTCTCAATGAGCCGCTCCCTCACCAGGTCCTCCATCTGCATGTAGGGCAGCCACGTCACTACGCTGATGTGCCAATCTGCTAATCTGCTGATCGGTCCAACGAGCAACCTTACACAATGGGCGCGGCAAGTACCACTGCGTGCTGTCACACGCTTCTTCACCCCTCTATGTGCAAAGTGCAAGTGACTGCCGGCGCGAGTTCCTCCCCGTGAACGTCTTTTTCTTCGGTACACACAAAACCTGCTTCGCATGGGGGAACATACAAATGACTCCCCGATCAAGCGATTACCCACTGTGTAGCGGAGGCGTCAAGATAAGCACATTCACAAAAAAAAAAAAAAGGGGAGCCACCTTTTTCTTAGGTGTGAAGAAATAACCCCCCCAAATTGGCTACAATAATTCGTACCGCCTCACAAGTGGGACTACTACTAATTCCTTTGTGCCCTCTAGGGGGGCAGGAAATTTTCCCTTGCCATGAAACGGGGTCCATACGGGGGGAGGGGGGAGGCGCCACACAATCAAGTCCCTATGCGGAGGGAACCAAGGTGAGCGCACACATGGAGAAGAAGAAAAAAAAAGGAATACACGCTTTCTTTAGCACAAAAGACGAATTGCTACGCTCTATTCCATCTGCGTGGATGCGTGAAGAAGGACGAAAGCGGAAATGTGTTTTTTTTTTTTTTTTTTTTTTTTCCTTCCAGTGTGGGTTTACGCGAAAGGGTATAGTAAAAAAAAAAAAAAAAAAAAAAAGAATCCATAGACATGGGATGGATCTTGTGAGCCATTTAACAGTTCCTTTTTTTTTTCTTTCAATTATATATTTTCCCGTTTCCATCGTGCATTTACTTCCCCATTCCTTTCTTACATTTGTCGCCATTTTTTTTTTTTTTTTTTTGGGGTATTTTTTCTCCTCCCCTAAATGGAGAATCGAGCGGTGTGCTGGGAATCCATATCAACATGGGAGTAGGCAAAAAATGGGCACAAAATTGGGGGAACCCTTTTTTTTTTTTTTTTTTTGAGGCTTCCATTCGTGGGGGTGGCAAATTCAAACCGATTGGGAGGGAGCATTATCACTGTACACATTTCTTGCGCAAAGTGGGGCAAGTGCACTGTGTCCATATAGGTCTGCCTTAACTTGAGGGTCGCGGATCTATCCGCACACCCCGAATCAACAGAAGAAAAAAACGCCCCCGACAATTCCCCCCACAACGCTTAAACAAGTGATCGCGAGGATCATCAACTTGTTTGCTTGAAAGAAGTCTTCCTTCGTCGAGTCCTTCAAAAGGGGGGGTGGGGAGACAAATAAACACATCCATAGGAAGTACGGTACTGAGTGACTCGTTGGTTTTTTTTTTTTGCGTATTATAGACCCTCACATAAGTACAAATCACACGATCGCTTCTATCTGCGTGCTCTCCTCTTAGCTTCAAACCTCGTCCTCGGGGTCCTCATTCGAATCCGCCTCCGTGGTGCTCAGGTCGATTCCGGCAGAAGTCCCCTTCATTTTGAGGGCGCAGTCAGATTGCCCTACTCCTATGTGTAAGGGGGGGGGGGGGGAAGACGCAACGGGTTCTCATGTTTTGTCCACGCGTCTGTGGGGTGCTTCCATGCACATGCGTGTAGATTGCGCCTCCAGAGTGCGCTTGCATAATGCGCCGAGGTAGAAGGGAAACCCTTGTGGGGGGCCTCACCCAGCTTCCCATTTTCATTGTCGAAGATGAGGTACTTGTTTAAAAAAAAGGGGATCCCCAACTTGAGGGTTCCCTCTGAATTTAGCAGAACTCTATACACTCCGTCGCTTCGGGGGAAAAGGAGAAAATTACAATTGTAAAGACGTCAGCACGTAATGCTCCATCATCACATTAAGGTATATGCTCCCCCGTGGGGATAAACAGCGTAGTGTTTCGCATTGCATTCTAAGTTAAGGTAACCCTTCGTGGATTAGGTAGTCCTTGGGCTCGATCAGCACCTTCCCGTCACTGAAGAGGGTAACAAAAAAAGGGGGGCAAAATAAGAGGTAGGAAGTTGCCCCGTTGGGATGTGACCCCGTTGGGGCGTTGCCCTGTGGTGGGAAGCTGTCTAAGTTGCTTCTGCACCCCTGGACGTACTCGAAGACGAGCTCCACCGTTGGGAAGTGTTCCACGCCTTTGCTTTTCATTGTAAATACACCCTTGTCAATGATCTCGGAGCAGGTGTTGGCCTCCCCAGCGCAGGAGGTGTACACGGCGGTCTTCAGCTTGGCGGTGATTTCGGCTGGGAAAGACAGGAAGTAGCTGTCTGGTGTGTGGGGGGGGGGAAAGTAAAATGCCCATTCATAAATGGTCAACATTGTAGCAAAACGCGCGGTGTACTTCTTCATTGTGCATTGCCTACACCGCATATCCCATTTTCATGCGAGGATGCCACTTACATGAATCGACGACAGCCACCCCGACGTTAGTACTCTTCACCCGATCAGAGCCAGACACCATGTTGACTTCCTTCAAGAGAAGGCTGTACGTGTCTTTGGAAGATGCCGAATATGAGAGCCACACAATTTCGTTAGAAGTGGCTTGCTGGTCTCCCACAACTTTTAGCCGGGCATCTGCTTCCAGGTCTTGAAAACCAATTTGCAGTGCCGATGCGCCCGGGACCTTCCTTAATGCTTCATTACTAAACCCACCGAAGGATGCGAAACCCCCTCCTTCAACAAAGCATAATGCAAAGACGTTCTTTTTAGAAACAGACTTCTGTACCAAGGTATGTAAGATGGAAGAACAGGACTTTTTCGAGTGAGCAGTACCATCTGCATGATTATATGCTAATCCGATAAAACCTGAAATGACATTATTGAAACTCAAGTCGTCACTCTCTGTTACACAGCCAAAGTAGTTGTAGTGGAATTTAATCGTGTCGTTCAGGTAAAAAAAATCTCTAAAATAAAATCCTTCTATATGTTCTGAACCAAGACTTGAGCTAAATGAACACACCGACATATTCCTCTTGTCCAACTTTGTGTTCACATTTAAAAAGTTTATATCATTTATGTAGCTACAAAATCGTTTGGTACAACTTTTTTTTCTCAACCCAAAGTGATGGATCATCTTTAAAAACTGTTTAATCGGAGCACAAGAAGTGTTGCCTTGTTGTATAGCAGTGCAGTGCTTACTTTTGCAACTCATATATTTTACATGTTGCGATTCGTTCATTTCATATTTTAAATCCTTCATTTCGTCACTCGGATTCGCATTATAGGAACAGTAAAGGGCCGTTATGGGGGTGGACGTGACGATGCCCAACTCAAGGGGCATCTTCTTCAACCCCATCAAGAGGGGCACAGTCCACCTGAAATTGTGTTCATTTAGCTTTAAGGTGAAGTAGTCCTGCTCGTTTTCTGTTTTCGCTTCTACGAGGGAGTTCCCCTTGCTGGTCATGATGGCGGCATTCACCCGGTTGGACGTTATGGCCGAGTTCACCCCATGCCCTTTTCCGCCGCTGTGACGAAACTTGCAATCCGTCTTCCTCACCGCTTCGTCCAAATTATACGCAGAACAAATTGTTACATTGTGTGTGTGCAAAAGGAGTGCCGCCAGGGTGAACAGCAAGGGGACAATTCGTCCCATCTTTACCAAACGTCTTATCATCCAGTTGGGGAGTAGCACACAAATGTGAGGTCCTGCGCATGTGATAGTACCAAAAATCAGCGGTTACCACATTTTGTTTTTTTTTTTAAACGAAATGGAGACACGCGCGTTTGGGTCTACCGAATTGTGCCTCGCGAGCTGCCTGGTCTCTCTCACATGTGTAATTGGGGAGAAAAAACACGGACGTTATTTTTTGAGCCTCCACCCGGAGATAATAATCTGAACGGTGCAGGCAAAAAACACGTACACAAGGGAAAAATCGCCTGAACGGGGCAGGCAGAAAAAAAAAAAAAAAAGCTAGAGGGAGGCATCGACAGCGACAGCGACAGCGAAATGGTGGACACCCTATAAAGGGGAAAAAAAGACGCGTGGGGGAATTACCAAAAGACCCCACTGAAACAGAAAGGGAAATACATTTTTCTATCTTATCCATTCCCCCAATTGGAAGTATTTTCCGATTTTAATTTTGCCTCCCTCAGGAGAGGCGCGTGTCCACTTCAAGCGGTGCGCATATTGTGTATTTGTTCATTTATTCGCTTAATTTTTTGCTTGCTTTTTTGCCCGAGTTGAGTGACACGGTGACGTTAGCCATCACGAAAAGAAAGTTATTTGGATGGCGAACTCCCCCGTCACTTTGCTGTATGCACATGCAGACAAAACGAAGATGCCTTTAACGTGGCACTAATGTGTCATTAAAAACGGGGGGAGTTCCCCACATTTTGCGCAAACAAGAATGTGCTCAGGGAAGACGCGGATAGGCGGCGAAGGAACGACAACATAGACAGCACAGCCAATTTCGCACTGATATATAGCAGCGCCCCCCAGACAGACAGACACACCACTAGGGGCAACGGGACTACCTCCTGGAGGAATCGTAATAATTGCGAGCCTTGTACCTCCCCCCGAAGTTTCCCTCGTTGTGCCGCTTCACCTTGTTGTACTTCTCCTTAAGAGAAATGTTCGCACTGATCACATCTTTCATGATCACTTTTTTGGAAAACGTAGTGGGTATGCCTCCACGTTCGATGGTCTCCCCCACAAGTTGTACCTTCTTCACTGGAGAAGCCAAGTTGTGGTGAGAAGACTTAAAGAATTCAATGTTGCTGTACTGAAAGGAAAGCACGTCGTATATAGTAACAGGTCGGTAGGCAATTTTTTTAATTTGCACAATTTTATTTACAATTCTTCTTAACTCCTCAGAGGTTAAATCAATTAATGGAGACATGAGCAAGGTTTGCATGGTCAGGTAATGATTTAGAAAAAGGTAGTAGTACCTCATCTGATATTCTACATTAAGATGTTCCAGCAGTTCCTTTACCATTTGTTCTGTCCCTTTGTCTACTGTTTGCTTTATAATGATGTCCTCATTTTGCAAGTGCTCCTTTGGGATGCTCAGGATTTTCTTTATGTACGTCTCGTCCAAATTTCCTCTTGGGTCTGTACTTAACGTGGCCACGGGGGGGGACCCTGATACAGCTTCCTTTCTGTCCTCTCCACGTAACTTTTCAATCTGGGCTAACTCCTCTTTTATGAGTTCCCAATTTGTGTTCTCTTTACATGTGTGCTCTCTCTTCGTAATGACTCTCACGTCCTTCGAGCCATTTTTTCCTTTCACATATAGCAAACACAACAGGTCGGCCAGCAGCTCGTGGAGAAAATCTATCCTCCTTTCATTCTCACTTTCATATTTTTTATCCTTAATGATGTAGTTCCTGCTCTGATTAAATTGCATGAAAATGTCGTTAAAGTTGTTCTCACTTTGTACAACACACGAGTCGGGATCCAACTCCTTTATGTCTTCACTCACTTTTCGTACAATGTCAAAATAGTAGTAGTCGTCCAGGTAGAGCAGCACGTCGTACTTGAGAATTTCTTTGCTGCTCCGCGAGAATATGCTGCTGTAGATCGTTGTGAGCAGCTCGTGGACCACATCTAGGGAGGTAATCATTTTGGCTTCTTTTATATAAACGGTTTGGGGGGTGGGGAGGCTAGTCCTCAAAATAGGGTTCTTTATTCTGTGATGGTCTCCCCCTGGCGCGGCGGCTTTGAAGGAGGCCACTTTTCATGTGTGAAATGAAGAAGCCACTCGAATGATATGCCTCGACCGATGCCCTCAAACGGACTACAACGCGAGAGCGCTGCTGTTCACTCGTTTTGTGAATCTAAGTTGGGCAGCCTATTCTACCGCTAATCACACATGGCTACCTAACCTATATGATGTGTGTCGCAATTATTACAGCTTCAAAAATGTTCACCAAAAAAAAAAAAAAAAAAGTTTCCAAAGTGTGCCCTGCTCAACGATGCGGCGTGAAAAAAAAAAAAAAAATGGCTCCACTTTTTTCGCGTGCCACGCAGAAGATTATGCCGATGGAGTGGCCCGCACGTGTGCATACGTGCGCGAATTGTCGGCGGAGGGGACACCCCGAAACTTCGCATAGGAGCATTTGAAATGGGTGTGTGGGAATATGGAGATATGGTCACCCCCCACAATGAGTGTGACGCGACAGTGGTGTCCTCACGAGAGGTACCCAAATCGGGAGGTCCCTTCGTCGAGTTGCAAAACGAGAGAGGGCAGCAGAAAGCGACGGCCAGTCTGGAAGTTTAAAAAAATGTTAATGTTTGACAGAAGCAGCCCTAAGCCGAAGGCCGAGTGGTGCATCTTCCTCTTGTTCTTAAGAAAGGACAATTTGAGGTAGTTGTACAAGGCGCTCTTTCGGCTGTCCTCGCTCATGGCGTTAGGCGCCTCGCCCGACATTCCCCCGTGGGTACTACCAGCAGTACTACTACTAGTACTACTACCCTGTATGCCAAACAGGCTGCAGTTGAGGAAGAGGTAAAGCCTCAAGTCCATCAGGTTAAGAAAGTAATTCTCAAACAGTACGGGAAATATCAATTTGTAGTTCATCGTCAGGTTGAACTTATTGTGTTGTTCCTTCTGCGCGTCGTTCAGGTTCACACTGCATATGTTGTACGTGGTGCTGTTGGTGGGGCTACTCCCCGTTGACGTGTCTCCGCTCGGGAGAATAATCTGCTTTAAGTCTTCTTCAAAATTTGGGCCATCTCTCTTCCTAGTTGGTGCACTATTCTCAAGAAAGAACTCTTTCACTTGATGATAGTAGGACCATGGACCCTTCTCCCCATTCCTCTCTCCTCCTACCCATCCTCCAATAGAGGGGCAATTATAACCGTGCCTTAAATCCCACAAACACCTTTTGAAAAAAAACGCTACGTTAAGTAAAAGGTGAACTTGGTTCATAATTAATTTGCACTTGTACACGAGGGGGACCAGGACAAGGGGGGGCTCTTGTTCGCCAGTGGCGAGATGTCTCACCGCTTGCCTCGATCTCTTCCCCAAATAAGTAAACACCTTTTTAACCTTACAGCACAAGTCAAAAATATTAATTTTGAAATTCTTTTGGAAGTAAAATGTGTAGTTTAGGTACACGTTTTTTATTTTGTCCAGGGAGAGGAAACCTCCCTTCTTGTTGGCGTCCTCAAAAAAGGACAGCATGATGGACTTCACATCGGCTTTACTACCATCTGTTCCCCCCCCTAAAGAATTTCCCTCATCATGCGTTTTATTTTCCTCCCCTGCGAGATGCTCCGTCAGGCGAAACTTCCTATCCGTGTTGAAGTAAAAAACCAAGTCCACTTTATTCTTCACGTTAAAGAAAGCCTTCATACATTTTGCTTTTTCGAACCAGCTAGCGGAGTAGGCGTTTAAGCAGCTCGATAATTTTAATTTGGACCCATAAATATTATACAGTTGGTTAGATAATACCTGGCTGTCGTTTGGGCTCCTCCAAAAGGGAAGGAAGGGGAGGAAGCGAAGGGGAAAGAGTCTTCCAGAGTGGGTAGCAGCACCTCCTGCAGAAGGCTCATTTTTCCTCTCCAAGAAGTACAAAAAGTTATGAAAGAGCTCCTTGGTCGCCTTCATTTTGATCTCCAAAACGGTGTTGCGTATTTTCCTTATCGCAAAAAGGAAAATCTTCCCCTTGTGAAGGTAGCTGTAGATATTCTTCCTCTGTGCGGAGGAGCTTCGCGGGAGCAAATCATGCTGCCCTACATTTTGCTCCCCTGAATTGTTAACATTTCCTGCCTGCACATTTTCGCTGTCTTTTTTTCCCCCATTTTCACCTTGCCTGTTCATAATATTTATGCACTCATTCAGGGCTGAGCTGTCTAACTCCTTCTTGAAAGCCTGCTTGACATTGACTCCGAAAATGAAATACGAATGTGAGTTGTTCCGTAGCTTCTCCAACTCCACAATGTCATTCACGAACACCATGTCGTAATCATGCTTATGGTTTTTGTAACTCAAATTTTTAAAAAATTTCAACTTAAACTTGTCCCCATAGTTAAAGCTGTGCAGGTAACCAAAAGTAATGTTCATACATAAATCCAACAGCGAGTTAAAGCTCTTTGAGATGGATGGGATAAATGAAACTCTTTTATTTTCCACTAGGTCTATTTGCAGTATGTGTTTTTTTTCCTGCTTGTCGTGAAGCAGCTTCACATGGATGTAATTGAATAGGTTTGATTTGAGCAGCAGGTCAAACGTGGCTTGGTCCCACACGAAGATGCTGCCCTCCTTTATGTTCATTTTTTTTTCGAATAATTTGCGCAGCTTGTTGGATGCCGGTTGGGGCGTCTGCAAATCATCGGGGCTGGGCGCGCCGCTCGCGGAGCCCTTGCGCTCGAAGAGCAGTTCCTCCTGGGGGGGATCATCAGGTGGGGTATCCGTTGGGGTATTCTCCGCAGTGGTATCTACAGCGGTCTCCACGGTGGTATGTGAGATATTCTCCGCAGTGGTATCTACAGCGGTCTCCACGGTGGTATCTGATGTATTCTCCGCAGTGGTTTCTGAAGTGGCCTCGGAAGTGGTCTGCGAAGTAGTCTCTGAAGTATTTTCCGAAGTGGTATGCGAAGTAGTCTCTGAAGTATTTTCCGAAGTGGTATGCGAAGTAGTCGCTAACGTATTCTCCGCACTACTCGTTGGTCTGTCGACCTGTGTCGCGGTTGGCTTCCCCGTTGCGGTGGTGGGTGTCCCCCCGGTTGGCTTCGCCCGACGGAACACCCTAATCTGGACGCACCCCGGGCCCAGAATCAACTCCTCCACATAAATGGTCAACACATCCTGGTCCCCATCTTTAACAATTTCATGCCGCAGGACACGCGAGAAGAGGTAATTGTTCTTGGTGTAAAAATCTGAAACGATTTTAACAACCCGTTCAATGTCTTTGTGTCGAATGGTTCTAACGTTTTCTCTTATGAGTAAATTAGCAAGAAGGGTAGGACTAATCACAGTGCTGTTTCGCACCACGACCCTGCTGATGATCTCATTCTGACCTTTAGGAGTGAGGTTCTGTAAAACTTTTTTTAAATTAAAACTGCTGTGCTTTTCCTTGGATGGCTTATTGAAGAAGTAGTTTCCCTTGGTAGCAAATTTATCCCAAATTTCTTTTAACTTATTTTTGAGGAAAAGGAGATTCCTTTTATTGTTTGTTTTCCTTCGTCTGGTGTAGTGGCTTGGGGAGTGCTTGTCGTGGATGGGGGGGCGGCTAGGGAGGTTGCTGCCGAGATCGCTGCGGAGGCCGCTTGACAAGCCACTGGACAGGATTGCACCTCCGATGTAATTATCCCTTGCCGCTTTTTCATGAACCCGCCTGCAGAGAACGGTTGCCCAGTGGGCCAAAAGGAAAAGGCACACACACAGTCGCGCCACATTTTTCATGTTATCAATGGCAGGCGGGGGGGGAAGGGGCAGTCATGCGCGTAGGGACACGGCGAGTGTACCTGCATGTGCCTCGGAAAAAAAAAAAAAAAAACAAAAAAAAAAACAAAAGAGGAGAAAGGGGCAGAGGAGAAGGGAAAAGAACACCTCTACGATGGCCACTTAAAATTGGCCAAATATGTTACACTCGTGCAGTGACGCGTCATATTACCCCTTGTGGTATTATACATCGTATTTAATCATTTCTGTTTTTTTTTTTTTTTTTTTTTTGCATTTTTTTTCGTGCAACTCCCTTGGTGGCTGTTCAGTCGGATAGGTCACGACTGCGCAGAAGTAACGAGGAGGGACACATGGTGTGTTAAAGCAGGGCCACGTTCACAACGCCTTTGGAGATTTTCTCTGCATGCACACGGCAAAAAGTAGCCACCCCCCTTATGTCGTGCGAAGGAGGGGGGGGCGCAGCAGGCTCAAAAAAAAGGGACCGCGGCGAACAGGACACCCCCAAAGGGACGCACCTAAGTGGACCAAACTACACACACGTTTAAATGAACAAATCAAATGCTTTCTCCCAAAATGGAGAGTTATACAAAAAAAAAAAAAAAAAAAAAAAAAAAAAAAA